CAAAAAAGTACTCCAGAGTGTTGTTCAGCATGGGGGTGAGTAGAAAATGAAGGCTAATCATGTTTTGGGTGTACTATTCCTTTAAATGCAGAATAAATTGTAACAGTAAACTAATGCATAAACACCCTATGCTTAAACATGGTACTTGCAGCATCATGTTGTGGGGTTGTTTTGTTTCAGCCATTGCAAGGATGGCGGTGAATGCAGAACGATTTCTTAGGGAAACTGCTAGAAGCTGCAGGATGCTAAATAAAGAACCAGAGCAACAATGAAACAGTTTAGGTCAAAGTAGATTAATGTAAAGCAGGGGGCACCAACCTTTTTAAGGCTGAGGGCTCCTTCATGGCAACTAAGTCATAGGAATGGCTACCAATACTGACCTACTGTATGAACTGGAGGGATCAGTGTTCACCTACAGTAAATCTAATCCATAAAAACTCGTTTTTATTCTTATTTTATTCTTTTATTCAGTTCTAATTTTCCTTTTAATATTGTAGTTTTGAAACCACTGAAATATGATGAAATAGTTAACATGATGAAATAATACATAAATGATTAAAAAGAAGAGCAACAGAATAAAAAAAAATTAAACTTAACCCACTGAGTGAGTTCTTCTGTTTTCAGAAGACGAACAGGGCCCCCATGTGGTCCTTGAGGGCCCCCTTGGTGCCCGCGGGCACCACGTTGGTGACCTCTGATGTAAAGGAACAAAATAGTAGAAACTGAATTTAAATTACCCAGAAGGAATCTGTATTTATAAAATTTAAAATGGAATGCATGAGTTCAACCTTAATTTCAATTAATTGAAACTGAATTATTTGGTTTGAAACTGAATTCAATGGCTTTAAAAATTTGTTGTTTTTTTATTTGAAAATTCAGCTTTTCTTGTTTTGTTTTTTTACTATTAATTGTATTTATCAGTTCAAAAATCCAATTTATTGGTCTCAAACAATCAGGTGCTTTAGCCACACATTAATCAAACACAGATTCATGGATATATATTTCACATAAGCTATTATTTGCTTTATGGCGTTTTAAGCTGCAGCAGAGCAGCGTGCATTAGCTTGGTAGATGTCATGAACAATGTTTAATGTTCATGTCTAAGAAGTTTAATGTAAAATGGAAAAAAAAAAAGATGGGCCTGGATTAACTGTAACAATTGCCTGTAAATTGTACCTACAGATGCTGAAAGAGCATAGCATACTCCATATTCTATGATCTATTTATATTTGTGACTCAGGTGTTTGCTGTTGCAGTCTCCTCAGGAGTCTGCAGTCTGCTAACCCAAACATAAAATGATTCATATCTGAACCTTGATGCCACAAACTGACTAAACCTGAAACATTCTGTGGTGAAAGTCATATAGCGCCCCCTTTGGTCACAATACCATGGGGCACAAAATATAGTACAGTTTAACAACATTGTTCTGTTTCCATCAATAAGTTTGAAATGTTAAATGGGTATTGCACCTACCAAGCTTAAACACTACAGTTTAGAAAAAAAATTAAATTTATTGAAATTATAGGGCTGAAAATAAAAAAAAGACACTTGGAATTTTAAATACAAAAATTGGTTTTAATTTACTGATGTTTATTTTCAAATTAATGGTATAGTGGAGGATGTTCTTTTTCTGGCTGGATCACCTAAATAAGTGGTTCTCCTAATTGTCAAATACATTCTGGCGTTATGTTTATGTAAGGCCGTCCTACTGTATGTACGTGCTCGTCCCCATTTTCACTTACTGGTGCCAGTTTGACATAGTGGAAAAATTGCAAATCCTCTTTTGGAAAGTAATCCTATATGAGCGACGCAAATAGCAACAACTAAACACAGTGTGCACAAGGAGAAATGGGCTTGTGCACACTCTCGCACACGTTTAATAAGCATTCCCTCTCGGGAGCGGGTACAGGTTGCTCATGTGCATTTATTTTTTAAGTGGAGAGGGCGGATCTTTTCAAAAATTTGCCAAAATCCTCCATTATACCTTTAATACATTTTTTTCCAATTACATGGCCATTCCTGTTTTCTGCCAATAGGAATGGTCTAATCTACTCAAAGTATAGACCTAAACCCAACTGAGAAGCCGTGTTGATGTAAAGATTCTTATCAGAATTTACTTTAAATGTCAGATCATATTTCCTTTTACTTCTTTTTTTTTTTTTTTACAGTGTCCTG